GAAAGAATTTTGTTAGACTCTGGTATCTTTTTTAAAGAATGTGAAAAAATATCGACGAATTTTGTTTTTTAAGGTTGACAAAATTTTGCGAGCCGCTACTATGATTTTCAAAAGAATGTGAAAGAATGTCGGGAAACCTTGGTTTTTTTATGGTTGCAGGAATCTTGAGAGCTCCAAGTAACTTTTTTAAAGAATTTTGGGAGACCTCTAGTATCTTTTTTAAAAGAATTTGGAAGAATGTCAGAGAATCCTAGTTTTTTAAGGTTGAAAAAATCTTGAGAGCCCCAAGTCTCGGTTCTAAAACTATGTGAAAGAATCTCGGGGAACATTGCTTTTTTAAGGTTAAAAAAAAATCTTGAGAGCCCCAAGTATCTTTTTAAAAGAATATAAATGAATTTTGGTATACCTCTAGTCTCTTTTTTTAAAAGAACGTGAAAGAATTTTGTTAGACTCTGGTATCTTTTGAAAAGAATTTGACATAATGTGGGGGAACCCTGTTTTTTTAAGACTTAAAGAGTCTTGTAAGCTGCAAGTATCTTTTTTAAAAGATTGTGAAAGAATGTCGGGGAATCCTGTTTTTTAAGGTTGAAAGGATCTTGAATAACTCAAGCATCTTTTTAAAAAATGTGTAAAAATTTTCGGAGACTCCTAATATCTTTTTCAAAAGAATGTGAAATAATGTCGGCGAACCCTGTTTTTTAAGGTTAGGTCCAAGTATCATTTTTAAGAGAATGTGAAAGAATTTTTGGAGACCTCTAGTATCTTTTTTAAAAGAATGTGGAAGAATGCCGGAGAATCCTGTTTTTTTTAAGTTGAAAAAATCTTGAGAACCCCAAATATCTTTTTAAAAGAATGTGAAAGAATGTCGGAATTCTGTTTTCTAAAACTGGAAGAATATTGAAAACTTCCAGTCTCTTTTTTACAAGAATGTGGAAGAATATCGGGAACTTTGTTTTTTAGGGTTGTAAGAATCTTGAGAGACTCAAGTGTCTTTAAAAAAAAACGTGTTAAAATTTTCGGGGACTCCTAGTATCTTTTTCAGAAGAATGTGAAAGAATATCGGAAAACCCTGTTTTTTTAATGTTGAAATAATCGTGAGAGCCCCAAGTATCTTTTTTAAAAGAATGCAAAAGAAATTTGAGATACCTGCAGTATCTTTTTTTAAAAGAACGTGATAGAATTTTGTTAGACCCTGGTATCTTTTGAAAAGAATGTGAAATAACGTCGGGGAATCCTGTTTTTAAGGTTAGGTCCAAGTATCTTTTTTAAAAGAATGTAAAAGAAATTTGAGATACCTCTAGTATCTTTTTTTAAATGAACGTGAAAGAATTTTGTTAGTCCCAGTATCTTTTGAAAAGAATGTGAAATAATGTCGGAGAACCTTGTTTTTTAAGGTTGAAAAAGTCTTGTCAGCTCCAAGTATTTTTTTTTAAAAGATTGTGAAAGAATGTCGGGGAATCCTGTTTTTTAAGGTTGAAAGAATATTGAGAAACTCAAGCATCTTTTTTAAAAAATGTCTAAGAATTTTGGGAGGCTCTTCGTATTTTTTCAAAAGAATGTGGAAGAATATCGGGAACATTGTTTCTTTAAGGTTGAAATAATCTTCAGAGTCCCAAGATCTTTTCTAAAAGAATGTAAAAAAAATTAGGATAACTTTAGTATCTTTTTTTAATAAAAAAAAAACGTGTAAAAATTTTCGGAGACTCCTAGTATCTTTTTCAAAAGAATGTGAAATAATGTCGGGGAACCCTGTTTTTTTAAGGTTAGGTCCAAGTATCCTTTTTTAGAGAATATGAAAGCATTTTTGGAGACTTCTAGTATCTTTTTTAAAAGAATGTGGAAGAATGTCGGAGAATCCTGGTTTTTTTAAAGTTGAAAAAATCTATGAGAACCCAAATATCTTTTTAAAAGAATGAAAGAATGTCGGAATTCTGTTTTCTAAAGTTGCAAGAATCTTGAAAGCCCCAAGTCACTTTTTTAGCGGAATGTGGAAGAATATCCGAAACCTTGTTTTTTAGGGTTGAAAGAATCTTGAGAGACTCAAGTGTCTTTAAAAAAAAAACGTGTCAAAATTTTCGGGGACTCCTAGTATCTTTTTCAGAAGAATGTGAAAGAATATCGGGAAACACTGTTTTTTTAATGTTGAAATAATCGTGAGAGTCCCAAGTATCGTTTTGAAAAGAATGTAAAAGAAATTTGAGATACCTCTAGTATCTTTTTTTAAAAGAACGTGAACGAATGTTGTCAGTCCCGGTATCTTTTGAAAAGAATGTGAAATAATGTCGGAGAATCTTGTTTTTTAAGGTTGAAAGAGTCTTGTTAGCTTCAAGTATGCTTTTTTAAAAGAATGTGAAAGAATTTTTGTAGACCTGTAGTATCTTCTTTAAAAGAATGTGGAAGAATGTCGAAGAATCCTGGTTTCTTTAAAGTTGAAAAAATGTTGAGAATTCCAACTATCTTTTTGAAAGAATGTGAAAGAATGTCGGAGAACCCAGGTTTTTAAAGTTGAAAAAAATCTAGAGCCCCAAGTCTCTTTTTTAAAAGAATATGAAAGAATGTCGGAATTCTGTTTTTAAAGTTGTAAGAATTTTGAAAGCCTCAAGTCTCTTTTTTAGAGGAATGTGGACGAACGTCGGGGAACTCTGTTTTTTTAAGGTTGAAAAAATCTTGAGAACCCCAAGAACCTCTTTTAAAACAAAGTGAAAGAAATTTGGGATACCTCTAGTATCTTTTATTAAAAGAACGTGAAAGAATTTTGTTAGTCCCCGGTATCTTTTGAAAAGAATTTGAAATAATGTGGGAGAACCTTGGTTTTTAAGGTTGAAAGAGTCCTGTTAGCTTCAAGTATCTTTTTTAAAAGAATGTGAAAGAATTTTTGTAGACCTCTAGTATCTTCTTTAAAAGAATGTGAAAGAATGTCGAAGAATCCTGGTTTATTTAAAGTTGAAAAAATATTGAGAACCCCAAGTATATTTTTAAAAGAATGTGAAAGAATGTCGGAGAACCCAGATTTTCCAAAGTTGAAAAAATAGAGAGCCCCAAGTCTCTTTTTTAGAGGAATGTGGAAGAACGTCTGGGAGCTCTGTTTTTTTAGGTTGAAAAAATCTTGAGAAACCCAAGATCTTAAAAAAAAATGTTTAAGAATTTTGGTAGACTTCTAGTATATTTTTTAAAAGAACGTGAAAGAATTTTGTTAGTACCCGGTATCTTTTGAAAAGAATGTGAAATAATGTTGGGAACCCTGTTTTTTAAGGTTGAAAAAATCTTGAGAGTCCCAAGTCTCTTTTTTAAAGAATGCAAAAGAAATTTTGGATACCTCTGGTATTTTTTTTAAAAGAACGTGAAAGATTTTGTTAGACTCTGGTATTTCTTGAAAAGAATGTGAAATAAGCTGGGGGAACCCTGTTTTTTAAGGTTGAAATTTTTGACTGTGCAAGTATCTTTTTTAAAATATGTAATGTGAAAGAATCTTGGGAGGCCACTACTGACTTTTACTAAGAATGCGAAATAATTTTAGAAAGTCCTAGTACTTTTTTTGTAAAGAATGTAAAATTGACCCCTGGTGTCTTATTTTCGAAAGAAAAATCTTAGGGTCGACTAGTGTTTTTAAAAAATGTGAAAAAGTCTTGAGGTGCTTTATTTTTGAAAAAATTGAAAACGCTTCTTGGACCCTCTGTTTTTTTGAGATTTGAGTAAAGGAATGGACCAATTTTTTATTAAATAGAGAAGGCCGAAAACAAAAATCGTCCTCTAGTTGGCTCGCCCTTCTTTATCGCATATCAGCGTATCAAAAAGACAGCTGCCAACTACAAAACCATTTTTATTGATCGCGACGTTGTATGTTACGTTCACGATCGTCGTTAAAACTCGAAAACTAACAAATTAGAAGTTTAACTTATTAATTAATGGAGGGTTGAACAATTGAAAGTTGCATATTAATTACACGAAGTTCCGCTAGTTTATTAATGGGTCAAACTATAATAAATATTGGAGCAACTACCACCAAAGTGTCGTGTCGCTCGACACTCGAGAAGAAATTTCGATGAACAACTTCACTCCAGCTGACGGGAGCGCAGTGACCACATTCATACCTTTTGCAAATCGTCAACGCTCAAGTGACACTGAACAATTCACTCAATTATGCGAACTAATTTCGTAATATATTTTATTATTTTCGAATTAGTTCAAACCACGATAATTAATTCAAACTAACTCTCCAGTTCTCGTCAGTTGTTGCAGTTGTGCCTTTAGCATCCTTAATCGGGGTGCAATATTCATTTGATGAGAATTGGTGCAACTACCATTATAACTACATTTTCTCTCGTGTATATTTAATTTATTTAGCTGAACTCGAAAAATCATGTTTATCCAAAAACAAGCGTAATTTAAACATTAATAGTGCAGTATATGTTGTATTCATGAAACATATCGGGACTAGATTGAAGTGGAAACGCGAATATGCAAAAGCAATTTATTTAAAATTTTTAACGAACTTCGTATAGTGCATAAAGTAGATAAAGTGGGACTATCAGCATCTGGATCTAGTTTCGCTTCTAGTTCGAAAGTCGTAACCTCCATTTATAAATCGCTGTCTCCGGCCGTAGCTTGGCCGTTTTGAATTTTTCGCAGCCATTTAGGTCCATTTTGCGTGACCCGTCCGCGAGCTTAATTAGCGCATGCAGTAACCGAGCGCTTAATTTCTATCCCGACTCCCGCACAATTTCTCCGTCCGTCCCCGAAATAATTCCTCTCTTTCAACGCATTTGTTTGTAAACTTGACCGCGAAAAAACAAAGAAACTGCAATAAACCAGAGGCCACAAAACCCATTGGTACACTATCCATCTCTGTCTGTTTATGTGCCTTTTTGTGGCGACAGTTGCTTGTTGACTGTTTCTCTCTCCCGCTCGCTCCTCCATCCTCACCATAAGCCTCTCTTCGTCTCAACGACGCGCACGCAGCGCTGCCAACGGTCGAAACTTCAAATCCGTTGGCGCTCATTCCTTCGCACAACCTCGCGCAAGAAGGATACTGTGCACCGGCGACCCAGCGCATTTTTTCGAATGTTTCCGAAAGTTTCGACAACTTGAGCTGGACTGTGTTCGTGCGTTTCTTGTGCTGTTCGCTGTTTCTCATGTTCGATGAAAAAGTGAAACCAGGATGGATTAAGTGCTTGTGGTCGTTGTTGTGACTCGGATTGTCAACCCCCGAAATGAGGGTTTAAAGTGCGCGCTGTGGATTGGATTTTTCTTATCTTCTACAACGAACTTTTAACGAACCATGGAAGTCGCTAAGACGATTTTCCTCCTTGCGCTGGCTTTTCGTAAGTAGATTGCGCTTTTAACAATTCACTGCATGTAAAGTTCGGCCGAGGACTTAACGCGGTTAGTTCATGCTTCTTTAGACACAAGTAGAGGCGATAAGCGCACCAGATGGTATAGTTTTACGGACTCTTGGGTAGTCGCTAGGGAATTTTTAATTACACCGGTGTCTTAGTTGTTCATTATACGAGATAGATCGTTTCGAAAAAGGGCAAAGTTCACTCTGTTGACTTGTTATTGTTGAAAAATATACAATATTGTTATTTTCTTTTGGGAACACCCCTCGGCTTGTGCGTCGGGCTGTTACTAAGCAACTTCCTTCCGAAAACTATAACGACCAATTTCGTCGTTATCGCTACCCTTGCTGACGGTATTTAGTTTTCTTTAAAATGGCAGGACGTTTGTGCTTTCTGTTACAACAAGCCGTTTCACGTCTTATCAGTCGATGAAAGTCTGAACAACGGATGCTCTGATAAGGATAGCACCTCGGGTTATCTCAAGAAGTGGCCACACGTCCGAATTTTGACGAAAAATGTAAGCGTTTTATTCAAAATTTGGATTATCCGGATAATTGCTTTTGGCTAAAAAGCCGTAACGTTTTGATCCGCTTCGGGGCAATAACAAGCTTTAATCCTTTTGTCTCCCTCGAAAAAAGTATTCGATTTGTCGTCGTAACTTTTCAATGTCGCGTTTTTAATTTTGTCAAACAAAATTATTTCGGCCTCGCGTTCGGTCAATTGAATTTATTTATTTGACGCGAGAGGTAATTCTGGGGTACGCTAAAAGGTGTCCCTTGGGCATTCCCAAACTAATTCAGGGGTTCGTTAAATTTAGAAATGAATTTACTGAAATCGTCCGGAATTTTAGCCTAGATCCGATATAGTGTTGTTTATTTTAAGGTTCGGCAATAACCAAACTCGAGTGGAAACAATTTACATGTAGTGGTAGCACTTGATTTTGAAATGGTACACGCTCGTAATTATTCGGTTATAAATAAAACCGTATCAATCGCCGTTCCCTTTAATTCTCGGGTGGGGTACCTCAAGGTTCAGTTCTTTGTTCTGAAAACCGGCGTTTCTCGGAATATGTGAATGATCACGATGCAGCGAATTTAACAAAAACTCCGTCACGCATGTTTTGAAGTGGAAACATTTTATTAATCCTAGCGGGGATGTTCGGATGTTTGTCACTGTCATAATTAATTGTCGCAAGACCCGATAACGGTCGCTTAGTTGAAAAAATTCAAATTAATCGCAAAAATGTCAATAAACACGCTACAAAAACCACACAATTATTTCCCTCTTTTTTCGATTAATCAAACCGATTTTCGCGATTTTAATTTGTCAATACCGCGTTCGTGTATCGCGCAAACATATTTTCGACCTTTTTTCCGAACATTTTACAAGAAGTGACAAGTGTGTGATGTTTGTGCGAATCCATTACACGTAATGCGGCGCGATGGGGCGTTGTCGATGAAGATGTCTGAAGGCCGTAATCCGCGAGGACAAAGTCGATTTTAATATTTGAAGCTCGAAAAAGCGATCGCGGCAAGTCATGACGGTTCCGCGCGGGCACCTGATAACACGTGCCTCCGCGCGACAACATTTTCGAATTAAATTTTCTGAGTCGCTTTCCCTCAAAAGGCGTTCGCGCCGGGAGCGGAAAATGAATCGATTAATCGGCGATTGTGAGAACTCACGTCCTTATTCGATTTGAATGATTCAACATCTTTTTATTTGTGTAGGCCGAGGGTAATTATTAAATCCCTCCGCCCTCGATTTTTCTGCCTCTGCTTCTCGATGATAGCTTATAATGTTTATATTTTAAACAAACTGGGGCGGTATTGGATTTTTTAGTCCCGACGGGGTATTATCAGGAAAAATTTGCCTTCCACGATTCAAACCCACCCATACATTTTAGGAAATTAAATATGTGGTTGTCGAAGCGAGGGAATGACATCTGCTCCGTTTTATCGTGATTCACTAGAATGTTTTCTCTTTGAGCAAATCGATTGGAAGGTGCAGATAATCAAAATAGCTTTTGTCAAATGTGAGCATACACTTCATGGTCGTAGGCTCGGTATCTCGTTTCGACATCATTTGGTTGCTTGCGAATGAGTTTTTTCAGGCGTTTATTCATTTTGAGGTGTCGTTCGGGTTCTCAGTATTGTCATCTTCTAGCTAATTAACGATGTATCAACAATGCATGTGGTGTCCCATTACGAATTTTCCAGAGAACATTCTCACTCACAAATTGGGAATGAAGTAAGTTAAGCATTGTCGTCGTGATATATCGCCAAAATAGTATAATTGCTGTACCCTTTTGCGTGCATTGTCTGCAGAACGCAATAAGGGCGCAGACAAAGAACCGCTCGGCGGCAAAGGCAAGAGTCGCATTTTCCTGTAAATTTTTTATCAAAGAAATTCCTTTGTCAATTTGCGATATATGAACATCCAAACCGTGGAAATAACTGTCAGAGAAGTAATCAGAGTGGCACCACATGTGCGTTCTGTAGTCGTTGATATTAGAAAGAAGACAGACGGAATAGAAGCGTCGAGCCTTTGTTTTGCGTTGTGTGTGCATATATTTATAAATGTTTGCGATGGAATAAGCGCTTGCGGCTGTCTGAAGAATTTGTCTATGTTGAAGACCCTTGCATCCTAATCGTACGTTATAAGCATTGATAAATTGCGAGGGTAAGTTCTGCTTCTGTGCAAAGCGGTTTAGGTCGTTTCTCCCCTAAACTAGAGATAACCTTTGTACCCTTGATGCACGATGCATAGGAAGAATTTCATTTGTACTTGTTGGATATTTGAGATTGCTTTGAGTTCGGCTAGATTTTTTAAATCTACGATGAAATTTTTTAGTTTCTTAGATTCGTAGCGGGCGATAATTGAATTGTCTAACTACAGAGTAGCACTTTAACATACGTCGCTTGCACAAGCGTTAGTCACGTTGAAAAATTTAACAGTTTTTACAACAGTTTTTGATTTTTGTTTATCGAGCGTAAGCTAAAACTGGTTGCGTGACGATTTTTGTTATAAATAAACATAAACACTTCAAGTTGTTGCTGAGAGGCCATTGCTGTTAGTATTACACCGCATCTATCCAAATTGATCTACGTGTCCTTGCAAAAATGTTGATGACGTCATCACTAGAATTCTAACTTGAACGTTACACAGATATCTTTATCATTAACATGGTTAAAATGGTAAATTTTTCTAGAAAAGTATCGATTTTGCAATTAGGCTCCTCCCCTAGGTCTACCAACGAATGAAAAATTCATCGCAATTGAGCTTGGGATGGAAATGGGTGGTGCTTTATTTTTGGCTTGTTTTTTCCTAGTGTATATAGTATTCTTTGAACAATACGATACTTAAAAACATGTTCTTTATTTCTTCTAGAGAAATATGGATTTTGTAATTAAGCTCCGCCCATTGACTCACGACGAATAAAAAAATCATCACAATTGAGATCCTTATATTTTGCCTTTTTTTTTCTTAAATACATAGCCATCTTTTCGCAACAAGAAACTTAAAACATGGTCAAAGTGACACATTTTTGAAAGAAAATATGGATTTTGCAAATATGGGGCGGAGTCGAATTGCAAAATCGATATTTCCTTATACAATTTTTCCACTTTTACCATATTTTAAGAGTCACGTGAAAAAAGTCTACATATATTAAAACAAAAAGACAAAATGTAAGCCCGCCCACCCGCCCTATCCCAATTCTGATGACTTTCTTTATTCATCGTGATTCAAGAGGGTGGAGTTTAACTGAAAAATACTTATTTCTTTTCAAGACATGTTTTTCAGCATCGTGTTGTTCAAAGAATAGTATGTATATGAACAAAAAAAGGCAAAATATTAACCCCGCCCACCCACCCCATTTCAGTTGCGGTGATTTTTTTATTCTTAGATACCTAAAACACGTTAAAAATGGTAAATTTAACACGATTCCCAAAAAAATGTTTTTAATTTTGCCTAGAGAAATAAGGATTTTGTAGTTAAACTCCACCCTCTTGACTCACGATGCATAAAGAAAGTCATCAGAATTGAGATAGGGTGGGTGGGCGGGGCTTATATTTTCCCTTTTTTTCTTAATATTCGTAGTCTTCTTTTCGCAACAAGAAACTTAAAACGTGTTTAAAACAGGAACGGATTTTGTAATTAAGCTCCGCCCGCAGTCTGACAACGAATGGAAAATTCAGCACGATTGAGACCCAGACGGATGGGTGGGGCTTATCTTTTGTTTTTTTTTTTAACTTAATAAATATAGTTTTCTCATCACCATCACTGAAGAACATGTTTCACATGGTAATTCCTGTAGAAAAATCGGATTTTGCAATTAAGCTCCGCCCCACTTGACTAACGACGAACAAGAAAAATCATCACAATTGAGATAGTGCGGGTGGGTGGGGCTACATTTTGCCGTTTTTGCGTAATGTGTGTAGTCATCTTTTCACAACACTAAACTTAAAATGTGGTTAAAATGGTAATTTTGTATAGGGAAATATTGACTTTGCAATTAAGCCCCGCCCCTGGGTCTGACCACGAATGAAAAATTCATCGCAATTGAGCTTGGGATGGATATAGGTGGGGCTTAATTTTTGGCTTGTTTTTTCCAAATGTAGATACATAGTATTCTTTGAACAATACGATACTTAAAAACATGTTTTTTATTTCTTCTCGAGAAATATGGATTTTGTAATTAAGCTCCGCGAGCCAAGGGTCACGAGGAATAAAAAAATCGTCACAATTGAGATTCTTATGTTTTGCCCTTTTTTTTTCTTAAATACATAGCCATGTTTTCACAACAAGAAACTTAAAACATGGTCAAAATGACACATTTTTGCAAGGAAATATGGATTTTGCAAATATGGGGCGGAGTCGAATTGCAAAATCGATATTTCCTTATACAATTTTTCCATTTTTACCATATTTTAAGTTTCATGTGAAAAAAGTCTACATATATTAAAACAAAAAGACAAAATGTAAGC